ATATTCCTGGTCCTATGTTCACTGTAATATTAATGTATAAATGTTGTAAACGTCTTCATAAAAGCCATGTTTAAAAAAGTAAAATTATTGCACATAATGACATGCATATCTAACATCCTTTGACGTGTCATTGTTTTGATTCATCTTGTCAATTTTGTAGCTGCTCCATACATATAATATTTAAAAGAAACTTTTGGAATGTGTAGTTTATGTTAATGTGAGAAAGGTCGGTACTTTCCAATGGTAAAATGTCCAGAATAAATTATCGTTTGTTTAAAAATTTCATCAAAATTTACAAGTGTTGTCCGTATAACACATGCGTAGTACTGGAATTTATTATATAAGTCATTTGTAACAAATTACATAAAAACAAACAATTACACATAGAATTTAAAATGAACATACCGTCACAAATTCAGAAACATTTAAGACGACACATCCAACTACATGACGGCTTTGCTTCTGCTTGATAATAAAGAAATTGGAATGTTAAATAAATGCTTAATTTTAACCACCTGCTGTTTTTATTGTAAAATATTGAATTCTGTTCATACCCAATAAAATATGAAATGCAAATTTTTTATTTTAGCTATGACTGAAGTAAACACAAAGAAGTTTTGACTTGGAAGGTTTATGCCAATAAACCTTTCACAGTTTACTACATGATATTTCAAATATTGAGCATCCTGTCTTAAATGCAAACTAACTGAAATAATCATAAAGGAAGACGGGGCAGCCAGCGTTTTACAAGTAAGATAGCTCAATAATTAAAGATTTATAATTTAGGAGGTTAAGAAAATTGATAAACAGAGCTTCTCTGAAACTGTCAACGTTCAAACTTTGAAACGTAGTCAATGAAGTTTTGTCATTTTGTAAACTTTTGATCCGGATAAACAAATAGTTTTATCAGGGGCGTGAGAAGCAAGTAAAAGTTAGGGGGCTCAAGATTTTAGGGGCAACCTTTATTTGAAAAGGGAATTTCAGAGTAATATATCTCGAAGTCTCTAATTTTGAATAATTTTGTCACATTTCAGTAATCAGAGACAATTCGAAATTGATAGCGTTTGGACTTGACAGTTCATCATGAAAGTTTTGTCATTTTGTGAACTTTTGACGCAAAACAATTATTTTAAACAGTCTATCTTACTACAAGTTTAACAATTATAGACCAGAAAAAAAATCACGTGTACTATCACGTGAAGAAGTGCGCTTTCCCTCCAAGAAGGCACAATTTCTAAAGACATACTTAGCAAAACATTTTTATGTCCTCGTTACTGTTAGGAATTAGATAAACAGCAAGATGACTGTATGAATGAGGAAAACATTCATCTTAATGAAAGCCATGTTAAATAAAATTAAAATCATTCCGCATTTATGATATTCATAACTGAAATTCTGTGACGTGTCATTATTTTAACACATCCTGTTGAGGTTTTAGACATGTTGTATGAATAATATTTGAAATGAACTATCGGAATATTTGATTAATTACATCGTATTGCTAGCGATAATGCTGGAAAGTTCAGTGTTTTCCAATGTTAATTTATCTAAAATTTATTTGTGATTGGTTAAAAAATCCCATCAAAATCAACAAATCTTGTTCATATCAAAAATGCCTTTCAACAAAGACACAGAAAGAACACAAAAATAGTAATCATGCAAATCAGTAGCAACTAATTGTTCCATAGTTATCTAATGCGAAATTTGCAAAATATAAAGATCTAGATAATAAACTTCATACTCTCTTTCGATGTAAATATTCTGGTCCTATATTCACTAAAATATTAATGGTTGTACGTTGACATACCATCTAAATTGTCCAAAGAACGTTAAGATCTTGTTGACTGTTTTTGGTTGACAATTCAGAATATGTTTAACAGAAGATTTGTAAATTGTATAAGACGTATCAAATTAATAAAAATGTAAAATGTTGTACACGTCTTGACAAAAGCCATGTTAGGAAATAGTAAAATTATTGCACATAATGACATGCATATATAACATTCTATGACGTGTCATTATTTTGAATCATCTTGACAGTTTGTAGCTTCTCCATACAAAGAATATTGATATAAACTTTCGGAATGTGTAATCTATGTTAATGTGAGAAAGGTCGGTACTTTCCAATGGTAAAATGTCCAAAACAAATTACCGTTTGTTTAAAAATTTTATCAAAGTTTACAAGTGTTGTCCGTATAACACATGCGTATAGTACTGAAATTTATTTATATAAGTCATTTGTGACAGATTACATAAAAACAAACAATTGCAGATAGAATTTAAAATCAACATACCTTCACAAATTCAGAAACATTAAAGACGACATATCCAACTACATGATGACTTTGCTTCTGCTTGATAATAAAGAAATTGGAATGTTCAATAAATGCTTGATTTTAATCACCTGCTGTTTTTATTGTAAAATATTGAATTCAGTTCACACCCCATAGAATATGAAATGCAAATTTTTTATTTTAGCTATGACTGAAGTAAACACAAAGAAGTTTTGACTTGGAAGCTTTATGCCAATAAAACTTTCACAATTTACTATAATTTATTTCAAATAGTGAACATCCTGACTTACATGCAAACTAACTGAAATAATCATAAAGGAAGACGGGGCAGCCAGCTCAATAATTAAAGATTTATAATTTAGGAAATTAAGGAAATCGATAGACAGAACTTCTCTGAAATTTTCAGCGTTCCAACGTTTTAACGGGGTCAATGAAGTTTTGTCATTTTGTAAACTTTTGATCCGGATAAACAAATAATTTGATCTGAGGCGTGAGAAGCAAGTCAAAGTTGGTGGGCTCAAGATTTTAGGAGCAGTCTTTATTTGAAAAAAAGAAATTTCAGAGTAGTTAATCTCGAAGTCTCAAATTTAGAATAATTTGTCACATCTCACTAATCAGAGATACTTCAAAATTGATAGAGGTTGGACTTGACAGTTCATCATGCAAAGTTTTGTCATTTTGTGAACTTTTGACGCAAACAAATATTTAAATAGTTATCAAACAAAGAACTCATTCAACGGAAAATTCTGCGAAGATTGTCAAAAGGATTCTGTTCCAGCATCATTAAAAGTTGTTATAGATATGATACTTAAAGGAGCCATTGTAAACAAACAACCGGCAGAAAGAGATCCAAATCAAGCTGGCTTAACCATCTCTTAACATATTGTCTTCAATTGCACTTCACACAAGCGTGAAGCGTCAAGACCTCACCACACAAGAGAAAAGGAATGTCCGGTACCAATATACAAGTCCCTCAAAATTCATGGAACTACGAGAGATAAATCACTTATCGACGCTTTTTTCAAGTTGGGATTGTGCATCTCGTACGATCGGCTTTTATCTGTTTCTTCCGACATTGCTAATAAAGTAATAGCAAGGTACGAGAGTGGTGACGTTGTTTGTCCGTCGAAGTTACGGTAAGGATTGTTTACAACTGCAGCAGTTGACAACATGGATCATAATCCCAGCTCCACAAGTGCACAAGACTCTTTCCACGGTAAAGCAATTTTGCTCGAGCAGCATCCAACAGTTCATGAAAATGGTGAGAGTAGAGAAGTAGATTTATTTGATTCGTTGTGAATGCGTCAAAACACACTTAGTTTGTACTCGTTTGTGTAATTGTATGGGTGATTGTCAATAACATGAGGTCATTAAAATCATTTTTATATTCTTGTTCTTGGTTAGGCGCTTTTCCAATGTATTTAAGAAAGAGCAATAACACTAAACAAAAGTACTGAGTCAGCACTTTTGAAACACTTTTAATGTAGAATATTTCAGAATGTATTGCTCAAAAGCAAAAGTTGTAATATAGTTTTTCTATCGTCTTTAGCTGTTGTATAAGAATAAACAGAGAAATTGCGATGACTCCGAACTTTTGTTTTTTTTACTACTGAAAACGTCATCAAACACGACATGCGCAGAACGCGTTGCAAATGTAAAATATGGGCTAGCCCTATATCAAAATTTTGTCTTTTGAGGCATGGTAAGACTATAAGAAAGTTTTACCCTTCTATCATTCAAGTGAAGAATTTTGTCATTAACAGCTGTACTATAATGGAGATAAACTTTGTGGAGATGATGCTACTTGGGGTTAGTGTATACAAATGGTGCCTTAGCGTAGAGGATGCAAATAGCCCACTGAAGTAAGAGCGTTCAGCCGTTGCAGTTGGCCAATTTCAACGGCTTTCTACAGGGACTATTAAGGTGCCCTTGGGATTGCCCATAATGCATAAGTTTTCAACACACCGTGGTTGAAGGGGACTTGTGAAGCATGCACTAGGTTAGGTTAAATTAAGGACATTATGGGTAACCTCCTTCAAGAGGAATTTCTTTTCAGGTGGAATTCCTGTGTTATGCGCTGGTTGGAAGTTTAGATATCTTAAGCATGCGCTGTAGTTGCAACGGATAGATGCTACAGTCAGGCACAAAATATGGAATATACAAAAGGGTCACTCGTGTCGGAGCCTTTGATGTGTTTATCCTCGCATACGTTGTGCCGCGCATATCGGCAACCATTATTCCAGTAATATAATTTGGGCCTTTTCACTTGTTCCCAACCACTGAAATGAAACAACGTCATTTCTTATTTTGAAATCTTTTCGATTTCATTGTGAAGAAATGACGTCATTTACTCAAAAGAGAGTCGACATCTTTTCCTTCGAGTGTCATAACAAATGTCTTTGATTTTCCCAGTCGAACGAGTTATACATTTCTTCGCAAATTTGTCTAGCTAATTGAGATTTACCACTGCCAGGATTACCAGAAATATAGTAATATGTTAATTCATTATTATTAGTACTGCGCAAGTTATTGAGATCTGCTGTGATTTGATTAAGTAACTCTGTACGTTTTACCACATCGTGATTTGGTTTGCAAGGAAGTACTTGAAAAGAACTAAATCTGTTTCGTTCACTTTTTATTTCATTAATTTCATTAAATGAAAATCCTAGATCTTGAAATGAGTTTTCAATATCACAAACCATTGTATGAAATTTTCAATCAGAAACTTTTTCTTTATTTTTAAGGATGAATTTGTTTCTTACATTACGAAGTTCATTTACAGCATCTCTAACTTTTAGACCAATTTTTGTTCTAATTGATTTGGAATACAATATCGCGGCAAATAGCGTCGTACAATCCCACTTACTGGTGTCACCATTTTAAAAATTTGATTGCGTAAGTTTGTCAGGAGGTTTCCTTTTTTAAAATTTCAATATTGAACAACTTCTGACCACTAACGTTTGTATTTTCCCATTCTCTGAGAGATTCTTTGTAATAAGTGTTTCATTCTTGAATAAAAAAATCATCAAGTTTCGTCGTAATATGTGCAAGTATTTTCTGAAGGTAGAGTTTATTGATTTCTTCTATTGACTACATCTACGGATTATAACATAACTAATAAGAACATTAATGGCTTAATTTACGTATAATAAATGTCACGTGATCTTTAATATCTTACTTCCGTGAAATTCACGTGATGTGTATCAATGTAGAACATTACTATTATATAGTAGAAATTTATTTCTTTTTATTATTATATAAAGATATAAGAAAGTAAGCAAGTTAATTTTCCAAAATTTATTAGAGCTAGTTCCAAATCTCACTTAAATCAACAAATTTATCTTTATAAAAAATTTACATAAGTACGTAGCGCGGAAGTAGAATATTTTACAGAAAAAAAAATAATCGATAAATGGACATGAAACATTAAATCAAAAAATAAAAATACAATATTACAAAGACAGGTAAAGTTTAAAATCAACATACCTTCATAAATTCAGAACGATTAAAAGACAAAACCAACTACATAATGTGTCAGATGCGGCGTTCTATTCGATTCTGCTGTGGAATAAATTTTAATAATTTATGTTTCTGGTCACGTGAGTTCTGTTACACCTAGGAGAAAGGCTCAAACAATATACCGGAAGAAAACCCCCTTTTCCTTTTACCAACCAAACAAATCCTCAACAAATTTTATTGTACAAATACTATAAACAATTTTAACCAGAACCAGAAGCAGTTAGTAAATAGTCTCGAAATCTTTATACAACAACGATGGAGATGTAGAGAATGTTCAGTATTTTCTTATTAAATACGGTATGTATAGTTTCAGAATTCTTTTTTATTTAAGGCTTTTTATAATTCTGACTTATGACGCTTGAATTTTGTCGAATATTTAAATTTTGCAAACAATTAATGATCTTTTAATCGTTTACAATTCATCTAAATTACTAAATACATACTTCGTACGAACATTGAAACTATACTTTGTTTATTTAAAGTATTCTCAACTTCCACTTCAGTATGATACATATGTAATAGTAGATTGTTTAGAGTATCCTCCACTTCAGTATGATACATATGTAATGGTAGGTTGTTTAGAGTACCCTCCAATTCAGTATGATACATATGTAATGGTAGGTTGTTTAGAGTATCCTCCACTTCAGTATGATACATATGTAATGGTAGGTTGTTTAAAGTACCTTCCACTTCAGTATGATACATATGTAATGGTAGGTTGTTTAGAGTAGCCTCCACTTCAGTATGATACATATGTAATGGTAGATTGTTTAGAGTACCCTCCACTTCAGTATGATACATATGTAATGATATGTTGTTTAGCGAATCTTCCACTTCAGTATGATACATATGTAATGATAGGTTGTTTAAAGTATCTTCCACTTCAGTATGATACATATGTAATGATAGGTTGTTTAAAGTATCTTCCACTTCAGTATGATACATATGTAATGATAGGTTGTTTAGAGTATCTTCCACTTCAGTATGATACATATGTAATGATAGGTTGTTTAAAGTATCTTCCACTTCAGTATGATACATATGTAATGATAGGTTGTTTAGAGTATCTTCCACTTCAGTATGATACATATGTAATGATAGGTTGTTTAAAGTATCTTCCACTTCAGTATGATACATATGTAATGATAGGTTGTTTAAAGTACCCTCCACTTCAGTATGATACATATGTAATGGTAGGTTGTTTAGAGTATCTTCCACTTCAGTATGATACATATGTAATGATAGGTTGTTTAAAGTATCTTCCACTTCAGTATGATACATATGTAATGGTAGGTTGTTTAAAGTATCTTCCACTTCAGTATGATACATATGTAATGGTAGGTTGTTTAGAGTATCCTCCACTTCAGTATGATACATATGTAATGGTAGGTTGTTTAGAGTACCCTCCACTTCAGTATGATACATATGTAATGGTAGGTTGTTTAGAGTATCTTCCACTTCAGTATGATACATATGTAATGGTAGGTTGTTTAGAGTATCTTCCACTTCAGTATGATACATATGTAATGGTAGATTGTTTAGAGTATCCTCCACTTCAGTATGATACATATGTAATGGTAGGTTGTTTAGAGTATCTTCCACTTCAGTATGATACATATGTAATGGTAGGTTGTTTAGAGTATCCTCCACTTCAGTATGATACATATGTAATGGTAGGTTGTTTAAAGTATCTTCCACTTCAGTATGATACATATGTAATGGTAGGTTGTTTAGAGTATCTTCCACTTCAGTATGATACATATGTAATGGTAGGTTGTTTAAAGTATCCTCCACTTCAGTATGATACATATGTAATGGTAGGTTGTTTAGAGTATCCTCCACTTCAGTATGATACATATGTAATGGTAGGTTGTTTAGAGTATCTTCCACTTCAGTATGATACATATGTAATGGTAGGTTGTTTAGAGTATCTTCCACTTCAGTATGATACATATGTAATGGTAGGTTGTTTAGAGTACCCTCCACTTCAGTATGATACATATGTAATGGTAGGTTGTTTAGAGTATCCTCCACTTCAGTATGATACATATGTAATGGTAGATTGTTTAGAGTATCTTCCACTTCAGTATGATACATATGTAATGGTAGGTTGTTTGAATTACCTTCCACTTCAGTATGATACATATGTAATGGTAGATTGTTTAGAGTACCCTCCACTTCAGTATGATACATATGTAATGATAGGTTGTTTAGAGTATCTTCCACTTCAGTATGATACATATGTAATGATAGGTTGTTTAAAGTATCTTCCACTTCAGTATGATACATATGTAATGGTAGGTTGTTTAGAGTATCTTCGGCTTTAGTATGATACATATGTAATGGTAAGTTGTTTAGAGTACCCTCCTCTTATGTATGATATATATGTAATGTAGGTTTTTAGAGTATCTTCCACTTCAGTATGATACATATTTAATGTAGGTTTTTAGAGTATCTTCCACTTCTGTATGATACATATGTAATGTAGGTTTTTAGAGTATTTTCCACTTCAGTATGATACATATGTAATGTAGGATTTTAGAGTATCTTCCACTTCAGTATGATACATATGTAATGGTAGGTTTTTAGAGTATCTTCCACTTTAGTATGATACATATGTAATCGTAGGTTTTTAGAGTATCCTCCACTTCAGTATGATATGTAATAGTAGGTTTTTAGAGTATCCTCCACTTCAGTATGATACATATGTAATGGTAGGTTGTTTAGAGTACGCTCCACTTCAGTATGATACATATGTAATGGTAGGTTGTTTAGAGTACCCTCCACTTCAGTATGATACATATGTAATGGTAGGTTGTTTAGAGTACCCTCCACTTCAGTATGCTATGTATGTAAAACATAATAAATCAAATTCTGAAAACGTACATCTCGTTTTCTTGATATTCAAGACAATACAAGAGTTTTAAAACAAAAGATGGTGTAATATTTCGTCTTTATTCCAAAGACATCATTAGCCAAATAGTTTACAATGCAGGCTGCAAAACTTTTATATAATTATTTACAAGCGTAAGTGACAGTTACATAATTAGAGAACTACAAACTCAAGGGAGTGTACTTACATTTAAAATAGAGATAATTTCTTACAGGCTTTGAGACCACTATTAAGTTGTGGCATATTGCGTTTTATCAAAAGCGCTTCTATGAGGAGAAGTTGATTAGGATTATTATTATTGCAGCGATATAAGATTTTGGTGTTGCTTGGAATCGAATTACAAGGATTAAATGGGTGTGTGAGATTGGTTTGACTGTAAGAGGAAACCATTCCATGACATAAAAGACTTGAGTGTTTGAATTTGTTTTTTAAATAATGTTTGGTTAGAACAATTCTTTAATGCGCGAAAAAATAGGGAATTGATCCAAGTAGTTTTGCGGTTGAAAGGCTCGAAACTTGAAAAATGTGTATACTGGCCAGTATGAGTTGTTTCACGGAATATATCAATATCATTATTGGTTATTTTGAGGTCTAGAAAGTGCCGAGTGAGTCAGAAAAGTCATCAAAAGTAAATTTAAGATTTTTATCAAAATTATTAAATTTGGCAAGAACATGAGGAATGTCTGAATGTCGCATAAGAACAAGAGTGTCATCAACATAACGTCGGTAAAACGTAAGTACACCTGAGTTGTTCAAATCAGTGACAATGATATTTTCAAACTCAGTGAGAATTATATTAGCTAAGACGGGACCGAGGGAAGACCTCATGAGACCCCCAAGAGAAGACCCTATGAGACCCTCGAGACCATAAGACCCCACGAGACCCCCAAGAGAAGACCCCAACCGCAAAACTACTTCGATCAATTCCCTATTTTTTCGCGCATTTAAGAATTGTTCTAACCAAACATTATTCAAAAAACAAATTCAAACACTCAAGTCTTTTATGTCATGAAATGGTTTCCCTCTTACAGTCCGGAAATTCTTGATTCATAAACTCAAAACCAAAATCATAGCTAAAAATAACCCCTCTAAACAAAATACTGAGAATGACCTAAGTAAAATTTTCATTAGAATACCATATCTAGGCAAACAGGATGAACGTTTGGTTTTCAATCTTCTTCGTAAAATTCGCCGTAGCTTAAAAATTCCCATCAAACCTATAGTTATATATCAAAGAAAAAAGACATCAATTTTCTGTCTCAAAAAGGACAAAATTTGTGAACTCTCTAAAGCCAATGTTTTATATGAATTTAAATGTCCTGCTTGTGGTCATACTCACACGCTTGCCATTTAATCCTTGTAATTTGATTCCAAGTAACACCAAAATCTTATGAAGAGTAAACGTCAGGTTGACGTTGCTTGCAAAACGTATGTAGTCGTTAGCAAGTTGCTCGCTCTGTCGTCCAAATGATCGTAATAAAGTAAATGGTTTGAACATGAGAGTATCGTTAAATGTTTGTAAATGTAGATCGTTCAGGTTGGTATAATCCTGAGAAGGACTGTTTTTGTTGTTGTTGACAGATGTTTCGACAACCTTCGCGGTGTCATCTTCAGAGTCAAATGAGGAGTAAACGTCAGGTTGACGTTGCGTGCAAAACGTATGTAGTCGTTAGCAGGTTGTCGAAACGTCAGTCAACACCAAAATCTTATATCGCTGTAATAATAATAATCCTAATGAACTTCTCATCTTAGAAGCGCTTTTGATAAAACGCAATATGCCGCAACTTAATAGTGGTCTCCAAGCCTGTATCTCTACTTTGTATGTAAGTATACTCCCTTGAGTCTTGTAGTTCTCTAATTACGTAACTGTCACTTCCGCTTGTAAATAATTATATAAATGTTTCGCAGCCTGCATTGTAAACTATTAGTCTGATGATGTCTTTGGATCAAGACGAAATATTACACCATCTTCCACTTCAGTATGATACATATGTAATGGTAGGTTATTTAGAGTATCCTCCACTTCAGTATGATACATATGTAATGGTACGTTGTTTAGAGTATCCTCCACTTCAGTATGATACATATGTAATGGTAGGTTGTTTAAAGTACCTTCCACTTCAGTATGATACATATGTAATGCTAGGT